GTTTGATTATACATAATAAACTGGATGTCGATCTTTTTGAGTTTATTCTACAAGTTCATTAAACTTTTTAGATGTATGAATTAATTCTTTCTATCAAATCTGGAAAATATTTTTAGCCACTATTTTGTTGTTGTTGTTAGATGTCTTTGGGTCAATTCCAATTCATAATTACCAAATATGCAACAGACAATCTTTAAGACTATTGTTCTGTTTGGGCCCATTGCTGCAGTTACTCTGTTCGCCTCATTAAGGGAATTCCTCGTTTGACTGACCGTCCACTTTACAAAGCATGATGTTCTTCTCCAGGGTACGGTTTCTCCTGATAACATGTCCAAAGTACGTGAGATGAAAGTTCACCAGCAATGCTTCTAAGAAGTATTCTCGTTGTAGTTTTAAGACAAATTTTCTTGTTCTCCTACAGTCCACAGTACTTTCAGTATTTTTTGCCAACACTTGTGTTAGTCTGGGTAGACTAGAGAAACAAATTCATAGACACTCGTATAAGAAAGAGCTTTATATACAAGAGCAATTGAATATTGAGAATACATCCTAATTCAGTCCACATCACATGCGTAAGTCCAGTATTAGGCCATATGCCCTATACCAATCTATGAATTCCTCTTCAGACTCACAAAACACATGCAATGATGCTGAATGCAAGAAGATCACAGGCCAGTAAGTGGAAAGTCTTGGGGATCCAGTGGCAATGTAAGCACCTCAGCTCTTGCAGGGGTCTCCACTTGGCTTTTCCAGCTTTGAGGCTCTGGCTGCCATCAGCCTATCTCCATGTGGCTTGTCAACTGCAATGTCTCTGAGGGAGTGAGCAGAGAGAGACAGAGAGAGAGAGAGTCTCTTGCCCCCAACGAGGAATACTGGAGTTCCCAGAATCCTCAGGAAAAGGCCACGCCCACACAGAGGCCTCATTGGCTATGACCTGATTGACAGGCTAGACTCCACCCCTTCACTCTTAATCCTCTCAAATTGACAAACGATTATATAACCACCACAACTATGATTCAAATACATTAGTTCTTCATTATTCGATGTCCAACTTTCACATACATATGAGGCAATTGAAAATACCATTGCTTGGGTCAGGTGCACAGAGTCTTCAAAGTGACATCCTTGCTCTTCAATGCTTGGTGAGTAAGGCCTTGTGCATCAGATTTGCCCTCTTGACTGCTGCTTCCATGAGCACTGATATTATGGATACAAGCAAGATTAAATTTTTGACAACTTCAATCTTTTCTCCCTTTATCACGATTTTGTCTATTGGTCCAGTTGTGAGGATTTTTGTTTTCTTTACGTTGAGTTGTCATCCATACCGAAGGCTGTAGTCCTCGACCGTCATTAGCAAATGCTTCAAGTCTTCAGTGCTTTCAGCAAGCAAGGTTATGTCATGTTGAAGGCTGCATACTGAAGGTTGTTAATAAGCCTGTCTCCAATCCTGGTACTGCTAACTCACCAGGTTATTTTCTCTGCATGCCAACTGAATGTGGTGAAATGACACAACCCTGACCCACACCTTTCCTGTTTTAAACCATGCAGTGTTCCTTATTCTGTTCAGACAACTGCCTCACGGCCCACGTACAGGTTCCCCATGAGCACAATGAAATGTTCTGGAATGTTATCCGTGGTTTGTTATGATCCACACAGTGAATGACTTTGCAGAGTCAACAAAACACAAGTAAATACCCTTCTGGTATTCTCTGCTCTGAGCCAAGATCACCTGACATGAGCAGTGATGTCCTTCAGGCCATGCGCTCTTCTGAATCCAGTTTGAATTTCTGCATCCATTGTTGAATGATCGTCAGCAAAATTTTACTTGCATATGACATTAATGATATTATTAAATGATGTCCACATTATGTCCAGTCACATTTCTCTGGAATGGGCACAAATATGGACTCTTTTTATCCATTTGCCAGGTAGCTCGCTTCCAAGTTCCTTGTCATAAACGAGCAAGCGCTTCCATACTTCATCCGCTTGTTGAGACATCTCAGTTGGTATTCCGTCAATTCCCGGGAGCTTGTTTTTCACTAATGCCTTCAATGCAGCTTGGACATCTTTTAGATCCAGAAGTTCTTCCACATGGACAATATGCTACATCTTGAAAAGGTGTCATTTGAACCAGTTCTTTTCAGTACAAAAAGATGTGTATTCCTGTTAGAATCTTTGTATGCTTCCTGCATCATTCAGTATTTTGCCTGCAGAATTCTTTGATAGTTTAGCTTGCAACTTGATTTTTTTTTTTTAATTATTTCAGTTTGAGAGACATTGAAGGTCTTCTTCCTTTTTGGTTTTCTGATTTTATTTTTCAGAGTAATGTTTCTGGACCTTTTAGCTCTTTAGACATGCTTCTTTTAATTCCTTGAAATCAATAGGTGATTTAAAGTCTCTGCTTAGTAAGTGCAACATCTGGGTTTCATCAGGGACAGTTTTCTATTGATGGTTTCTTATCCCGTTTTGTGTACCATCGTCTAATGGTTTTGAATATATCATCCTTTCTACTGACTAGTGGACACAGAGTTGCTATGCTTCAGAACCAACGTGGCAGCATGTAACAACGACTTCCTTTGTCCAAGAAAATAGAGAAAAAGATGGAGAACTTCATCAGTGACCTCAGATCTATGTTGATCAAAATAAAAGTCAAATATTCTGGGACTCAAAAGTCATCTAGCTGAAATGATCAATTCAGTGGATGGGGTTAATAGCAGGTTATGCACATCTGAACAGAACACTCCAAACATATCCTTCTCTGTGACATCGGTTAACTTCTGGTTCTCATTTCATTTATATCTTTTCTACAAACTTATATCACTTTGGTCTGGCGCTCCTTAACATGTTGCAGATGAGTTTAAAAACTCTCAGATCCTTAAATCTAAATGAACATGCCTGACTACATCTCCACTTCCATCCCCTTCTGGGTCAGTCTCACACCATCTGCTTGGGTTTTGATCCTGAGGGGAGTGGGCAGAGGGCAGGTCATAAGCTTTGTCTTAATGCATTCTCCTCTCCTTCTTGCTCCATTTCCACTCCCAAATGCAGGAATTATAATATCATGTCAAATATCTTTGTCTACCCTAGAATTAATTTTCACACGTACTTATCTAAAATGGACACAGAGGGCCTAATGTAGAAAAATTAAACATTGTTTTCTTTGTTCAGTGCCACATCTTTTCTCACAGAAGCCATGGCATAAGAATTATTAAGAAAGTAAAATATGTCGCCGCAAGCAATGCAGAAAAAATGGATGAAAATGAAAAATATCTTGTATACATGTTATCTTATCAATTGCAACATGTTGTCTTATCAATTGCAACATGTTATCTTATCACAGTTAGGGGTGTACTTAAACAGGACATTTTTGGTTGAACATGAAACCGACATATGTAATGTAACTTTAGATGGTCCCTCCTTGGCTAACCCTTTAGTTCCTCTCGTCATATGTGGGGATATAGAGGAAAACCCAACTTTTGACTCACGCATGAAGTGGCATTAGAAAAAAGTGAAGCTACCTCTTAGGAAGTTATCTGTATCCGAATTATGCTTATATCATGTCCTTTTTGAGTTTTGTGAGCCAAGAAACTGGTTTTGTAATTCGCAGAAATATATATATATATATATATATATATATATATATATATATATATATATATATATATTTCCCCCCACTTGATTGCACTCTGCAGTATTGTGCTTTACAGAGATCAAGGTTTTTACAAATTGAAGGTTTGTGGCAACTCTATAGCAGCACCATTTCTCCCTCAGCATGTGCTCCCTTTACATCTCTAGGTTAATTTTGGTCATTGGCACAGTATTTCAAACTTAAATTATGCCATTGTGTACTTGACTGCAGTATAGAATAAGCATAACTTTCATATGCACTGAGAAACAAACAAACAATGTATGTGATTTGCTTTATTTCTCAAACTCAAACTCACTTCCATCCAGTTGTTTCTGACTTACAGCATCGTGTGGACATGGTAGACTTCCCCTGAGTTTCTGAGACTGTAACTCTTACCCCCCCCCCACTTTCATTTATTTATTTCTTTATTAATCATTTTATTGGGGGCTCATACAACTCTTATCACAATTCATACACACATCAATTGTGTAAAACACACTTGTACATGCGTTGCCCTCATCATTCTGTGAGTGCACATTTTAATGTTTTTACATGTATTACAGCAAGATTGAGGTGAATGGACTTCATTTACATATAAATCAATGAACATATTTCTTTAATGAGAAGATTTATCTATATATATATATATATATATATATCAATAAGTATATTTATTCAATTAGAGACAATTGTACTATTTCATATAAAAATCTCAGGCTGACAAAAATAACCAGCTGAGATTGGACAGGCATAGCTTATTGAGAATGTTCTCCAGAAAATATACTCAGCCAATTTGTTTATTTTGACTTACTGTATTGTGGCACTGTCAATTATGCATTTGACTGCTAACCACAGGGTTGGTGGTTCAAAGCCACCAATGGCTCCACAGGAGAAAAAGGCTCCCATAAAGACTTGTAGCATCGGGGAACGGATTACAGAGATCTACATATAACCTCCTCCCTGGGGGCCGGACAACAGAAAAGTGGGTGAAGGGAGATATCAGACAGGGCAAGATATGACAAAATAGTAATTTATACATTATCAAGGGTTCATGAGGGAGTGGGGAGCGGGGAGGGAGGGGGAAAATGAGGAGCTGATGTCAAGAGCTTAAGTGGAGAGCAAATGTTTTGAGAATGATGAGGGCAGCGAATGTACAAAAGTGCTTTACACATTGATGTATGTATGGATTGTGATAAGAGTTGTATGAGCCCTCAATAAACAATTTAAAAAAAGACTTGTAGCATCAGAAGACCTAGATACAGTCACCATTGAGTCGGAGTGGACTTGACTGGCAATTGGTACATAAACATTTTATCATTTTTATTCTAAGTGATATCACATTTAAGTTTCATGTCTTATTTTGTTCATTTAGGTGTCTTAAAGGTTAAAAAAAAAGAGGAATTCGAGACAGGTATTATTCATGGTGAAGGTTTTAAGACTGTTTCAGCCACACAATATGAAACAGTAATGGCCATGGCCAATCTGGCCATACTGACCTGTCAAGTATATGGAAGAAATGCACTTAATCTTCAGGTATGATCGCTCCTTTTCAATGAACAGGCCCTTTGATATTATTGATTGTGTTTGCTTCATTTTCACTTTCTTAGGTTTGATTCTATGTTATTGAGGAAACATTTCCTGGTATAATTGAGATTTCCCAGGAATATATTAAAATTGTATCTCTATACTTATTTTCTTTCATTCCCTAAACTTACCTTAAAATTATGCTAAGATCTTAAAGCAGTTACATTGATTTTTTCCCCCATTATATAGAACAATAAGAGATGTGTCATTCAAAATTACCATATTACCAGAATTTTTTTGTTGCACAATTAGAAGACATTTTGGTGCTGGGATCCAAATCTATTACTAGACTGGCTTTTCACTGAACAAAACACACCCATTGTTATGAATAAAAATAATAATAGCTAACATTTAGTAAATGTGTATTATGTTTCAAGCAAATATTACTCTAATAAATACATTCTGCAAAGTAGGTATGAGAACCTTCTTTATAAAATTCATGACCAAAATCCCACAAGCAAATACATTCTGCAAAGTAGGTATGAGAACCTTCTTTATAAAATTCATGACCAAAATCCCACAAGCAAGTTGGTGACACAAATAGTTTGGATTTAAACCCAGAAATTTTGACCTCCAAATCTATGCTGTTTGAAAAACAACAATATTTTTGTTTTCTTTTAAATTTCTTTCAAATTCACATAAAGTTCCCAACCAAAAAAAAACCTCTCATACACTTTCCAGTCAGTTCACACTTTTTACTCAGTTCACTATTTTGTCACACACGCATATATAAATTTTGGGGGGTCTCATTTTCACATATAGATATTATGTATTGTATAGATAAGGAGCCCTGTTAGCATTGTGGTTACATGTTGGGCTGCTAACTGCAAGGTCAGCAGTTTGAAACCACCAGCCAGCCCCATGGGAAAGAGGTGAGGCTTTTTACTCTGGTAAAGATACATATTCCCGGAAACTCACAGGGGCATTTCTACCCTGCCCTATAGGGTTGCTATGAGTCAGCCTCGACTTGATGGCTGTGAGAATCTTACATATAGCTCTACATACATGTATGAATAGGCAAGGAAGCCTGGGAGCACTGTTAAGGGTTGGACTACTGAGTGAAAGGTGGCAAGTCAAACGCACCAGCCAGTCCTCAGGAGAAAATTGAGTCTGTCTACTCCTGCCGTGAAGTTTGCAGCCTCTCTCTAGGTGGCTCTGAGTCAGAGTAAGCTCGATGGCTGCAGGTGTCGGGATTGTTTTGCTGGGTTTGGTTTATATGAATCTGCAGTCTATCTTCATCATTTGTGGGTTCCATATTAATTCATTCATCCGTTACTGAACTACTCATGGCAATTTGGTGATTGTTCACAGTGAAGAATTCTCAGCCGAGGGAAATAAATTATTCATTTGGTATTCGGTAATTCATTATGTCCAATTTTCTCATCTGCATGGGAAAGCTGGACAATTAGTAAGGGAGTCCTAAGAAATATTAATACTTCTGAACTATGGTGTTCGTGAAGACTATCGACTATATCAAGGACTACCAGAGGAAGAAGCAAATCTGTCTTGGAAGAAGTACAACCAGAATGCTCCGTAGAATCAAGGGTGATGAGACTTTGTCTCACCTGCTTTGGCCATGTTATCAGGAGGGACCAGTCCCAGGGCAAAGACATTTTGCTTCACGAACAACATGGATTCACACCATGGCTTGCACAATGGGCTTAACTCTGACAATCATGATTAATGGATCAAGCCGTGTTTGGTTCTGTCGTACTAGGGTTGCTATGAACCAGAACCGACATGACAGTACCTATCAACAAGGCCAATTTAGAACTTCAGATATCATAACTACCCCAAACACCGGGAATTGCCTATATATACCAAACCAATTAGGAAAAACCATAAACAGCAAGGATGTTGTATACACTGCTGAGCTCTTGGTTAGCAGAGCAGCAATTGAACCACTGCACCGCTGGGTGCTTTCACAATTCTGTTAGTTATCAAGTTGATAGCTCTTATTCAAATTTTATTAACGATCTTAATTTTTTTTAATTACATAGGCTCTAATCAAGGATCATATATTACACTCAGTGGCCATAGTTTATTTTTACTTTAAAAAATAGTGATGTACATATACAAATACATTAATCCACAAAAATAGAGGTATTGGCCCTACATATATTTGTATAACAATACACTGAGGTAGGGGATGGACTTCCGGCCTCTGCTCATGCCCTCCCTCAATACAAGAACACTTTGTTCTAACAAATCGGCAGTCTGAGATGTTCACCTTCCCGACACAATCGCTGAAGACAAAACAGGTGCATCAGCAAATGTGATGAAGAAGGCAGGTGGTGCCTGGCTATTAAAAGATATAACATCTGGGGTCTTAAAGCCTTGAAGTTACAAAAGCCACCATTCAGCAGAGAAGCAACAAGTCCACATTGAAAAGGCACACCGCCGGTGTGATCTTGAGGAGTCATAGGGACTGGGTAATAAGCATCAGTACACACATAACAAACAAAAACATATTGTTGAGAATGATGGGGTTTGGAGCAGAGACCCAAAGCCTGTAGACCAGAGACCCAAAGATCTGTAGACAATGGAACAATCTCCCCACAGAGGGGCCATAGGGAATGGATGAGTCACCAGGGTGCATTAAGAATGGTTGAAACACACTATATTCCTCTAGTTCCTTGAGGCTTCCTCACCCCTCACTACCATGACCCCAGTGCTGCTTCTCAATTCAGACTAGACCAGAACATGTACACAGATATATAGATAAGAGATGGGTGCTCATCACACACAGAATCCAGAACAGGAGTGGGAATAGTGATACCAGAAGGGTAGGGGGCAGAGGGGGAAAGAGAGGAAGGGAGAAAGGGGGAACTGATTGCAATGATCAACACATAACCGCACACCCCTCTACAGGGGGAAGAACAAGAGAAAACATGGGGGAAGGGAGATGGCGGTCAGTGTGATTATGAGGGTGGGTGGGGGGAGGGAAGGAGGGGAGAGGAGCTGATACCAAGGGCTCAACAGAAAGTACATGTCTAGAAAAGAATGAAGGCAACCTATGGACAAACATGCCTGAGTCATTCGATATATTGATTGTGATGAGTTGTCGGAGCCCCCAATAAAATGATTTTTAAAATAGTTTTGTATAAAATAAAAATAGTTTGGTTATAAAATATAATCGTTTATTATAAAATAAAATATAGAGTGAGTACAGTTTTATGATTATTGTTACACCACAATGCCTTTCATTGGCCCATATAAGATTTTCATACTGACAGAATGTCCGGTGTGTATGTCACCTCACATCTTCAATAAAGTCTGTTAACTTCCCTGCTTTTTCCTAACTTATTGAAAGTGCAATACAGCTACATTACCTCAATATGCCAGAAAATACTTGACATTTTGTTTAATGATTTTTTAAAAGTCCATAAGACAGTATTGAGATGACCGTCAACTATGGTAAAGGCACTGGGAGCCCTGACGGCAGAGTAGCTGTGCACTGGACTGTGATCCAAAAGGTCAGCAGTTAGAAACCACCAGCCAGCTCCATCTTTCTACTCCTGTAAACAGGGGCAGTTCTGGCCTGTCCTAGAGCATCGCAATGAGCTGGCATTGACTTGATGGCAGTGATGGTGAAGGCATTAGTGCCAAAGAAGTGAGGCTGGACGCATTAGCCAACATCAAGCCTCCAGGACTCGATGGAATACCAACTGGAATGTTTCAACAAGCTGATGATGCACTGGAAGCACTTAATGGTCCATGCCAGGGAATGTGGAAGACAGAATGGAAGAGATCCATGTGTGTCCATTCCAAAGAAAAATGGCCAAACAGAATGCTCAAGTTATAGAACAATATCCTTGATATCACATCAAATAAAATTTTTCTGAAGAGCATCTAGCAATGGTTGCAGCAGGACATTGACAGAGAGCTCTCAGGGGCTCAGTTTGGATTCAGAAGAGGAAGTGAAACAGGGGCTATCATTGCTGATGTCAGATGGATCCGGTTGAAAGCAGAGAATACCAGGAGGATGTTTATTTGTACTGCATTGACTATGCCAAGGCATTAGACTGTGTGGATCATAACAAAGTACGGATAACCTCGAGAAGAGGGGAATTCAGAATACTGATTACATCCATGTGGAACTTGTATATGGGTCAGCAGGCAGTTGTGTGAACAAGGGAATACTGCAAGGTTTATAATCAGAAGAGGTGTGTGACAGGGTTGTATCTTCTCACCATACGTATTCAAGATGTGTACTAAGCAAATCATCAGAGAAGATGGGTTGTATGAAGAAGAACGTGGCATCAGGATTGGTTGTTCATTAACAACCTGCGATATGCAGATGACACAACATGGTTTGCTGAAAGCAAGGAGGAGTTGAAGCACTTGCTGATGAAGTTCAAGGATTGCAGCGTTCTGTGTGGATGACAACGCAATGTAAAGATGACCAAAATCCTCACAACTGGACCAACAGCTCACAGCATGATAAAAGGAGAAAAGATCGAAATTGTCAAGGCTTTTGTCTTACTTGGCCCCACATTCAATGAGCAAAAGACACGTTACATTGGGTAAATCTTCTGCACAAGACCGCTTTAGAGTATTGAAAAACAAGGATGTAAAACAAGGATGGGACTAAGGTGCACCTGACCAAAGGAATGGTATCTTTCAATTGCCTCATATTCATGTGAAAGTTGGACATTGAATAAGGAAGACAAAAGAAGAATCAATGTTTGAATTGTGGTGCTGGTGAAGAATATTGAAATACTATGGACGTCCAAAATGATTAATAAATCTGTCTTGGAAGAAGTATGGCCAGAGTGCTACTTAGAGGCAAGGATGGCGAGACTTTGTGTTACATATTTTGTACATGTTGCCAGGAGAGACCAGTCCCTGGAAACGGACACCATGTTCGGTATCGTGAGAGGCCAGGGCAAAGAAGAAGGTTCTCAAGGAGATGGATTAACACTGGCTGCAACCATGGACTCACGCAT